GGACTTTGTTTAGGTTGATTGTTGTTTGGGGGCCGGAGGAGGGGGCGTTTGTGGTGGGGACGGGGGCGAAGGTTGTGTTCGGTGGGGCCCTGGTGGCGATGCTGGTGGTGGTGAATCTAGCAGGGCTCTTGGTGCAGAGTGTGTTTTATTACGTGTGCAAGAGTTATCATAGGGAGGGGATTGATAAGAGAGTGTTGTATGATCATTTGGGCAGGTATTTGGGGGAGTATGTGCCGCTGCAGAGTTCGATCCAGATGGAGACCTTGTGAGCTTTGACATTGTAAGAAAAAAGAACAAAATTTTAACATATTTTTCCTTCTTCCTTTCGTCTTCATTTTTTTCTGTTCATGTTAATGTTATGGAACAATGTGGATGGAATTAGAGATAGAAATTATGAGTACATATTGATGGTTACCAAAGATATAGTCTTGGAGTACATATTGATGGTTACCAAAGATATAGTCTTGATTGCTAATGTAGTTTAGTTTTGTAATGGAATGTTTGATTTTTATACTTCCTTGATATAATGAGTTCTTTTATTGATCTTTTGCTCTATATGATGCCCTAATCAATGGCAAGATCTTCTTTGTAAAACGAACTTGTTAAGCTATAGTTCCTAGATGATCTTGCCTTTTTGAGGTAGAATTTCCCTATGTAGGGTTGATGGGAACTGGTTGTGGGGATCAAATATGGTAAGAAAGAGTTAGATTATGTGGTTGTTATAAGCCGATAAAAGGAGTTTTGAGTATGTCATAAGTTTATAAGAAATGTGCACAGCAGGTCCAACATATATTGTCGCTCCATGCCTTTTTTAACCTCTTGACAATGTTGGCTTGCTCTTTGCATATTGTTAGTTTTCTTTTTAGAGTGCAGATCATCTTAGGAATCGTGGAGTTGATTGAATGATACATTGATAACCTTAGAATGTCAATCTCTCGTTGTTCTATAGTCTATTCTATTCAGTTTATGATCCATTTCGAGTAAAATAAAAGCATCTAGGTTGGGGGAATTAGGAACCATAGACGATAAACAGGTATTTTTTTAATTTTTTATACAAGATAAACAGGTAGTTAAGTTAAGAGTAAAAACATCATGTGTATGTTTTTCTTTTGGCAAGAAGATCAGTATGTTTCATTACCAAAAAAATCCTGAATGCACAGACATCATTATAACTATTCAACCTCAACCCTTCTGAATCTCTCTAAACAAGAAGAGAAAAAACAGAAAATACTTCCTATACATTGAAAAATCTCAATACCACCCAACTCTAAAAACTCTCAATAACTGAAAATAAACAGCTTGTTATCTCCTAAGCCCTCAAAACAAATTCTGGATAAATCTTCATAGCCTTATACCATTTCCTCTTACTTTGAGTATAACATCATGTGCATGTTGAAGAACGTAAAATGAAGAATAATGTTAAATGAAGCATAGTTACAGTTAATAATTAATTTTTTCTATTTTCTTGTCCGTCCCCCATTATTCTTTCCCGTAGGTTTGTTCATGGGTGTCACTTCTTGCTAACATATTAGAGCTCATGGGAATACATCAGTCTGTTGTATGACTGCTGTCCAAAAGTGTAACCAATCTTAGAAATGATATAAATTTTTGACTAAACCTAATCATGATATTGTTAGATTTTAGTATTGCAAGCTATTACTTGATTTAGTTTTTGGATTAAATTCAAAATAGTCAGATGTGATGGATGGAAACCGCAGATTTCAATCAAATAATTATCTCAATATAGTAAATGTTCTGAATGTGGTGAAAGAGTCTTTGAAGAACAAGAGAAATATAATGTACATTCTGCACACAATAATGAGAGTATCCTATGGACACTCTTTTAGCAGATATGAGTTTTTCATGCTAATCATTTGGAAGATTGGAGATTGATACACGATCCACCCATCTATTCTAGATTTTAAGAAGGTGATGAAGAAGGAGTAGCTTCCCAAATAGCATAAGGACCTTCTTTTGGCTATTAATTTGATGTGTATATAATTAAATGCAAACATAGTTTTGGCTTAGTCGGAGATGCCTGAGTGAAAGGAAGGTCAGACCTATTTCCATTGGCATGGCTGTGGGGAGAATTCATGGTAAGGATAGATTAGGTAATGGAGCAGCATAAGTTTCCTAGTTAAATTACCAAATTGGCATTTTTTGTTACCACCCTTAGCCGGCTTGATATTAAAAGTTACTCCGGTAGTTTTAGATGATGTGGCTGAGGTGACTATTTTAGATGAGTAAGGTTGAGGTGACTGTTTTTAGATGATGAGGGTCAGTTTTACTCCCGTCCTATCTTTGCCTTATCATCTAAAACCTATGTTACTAAGGTACTTCTATCATGAAGCCGTATCCATAACCGACACGCACCCGTACCCAAACTTCATGGACACCTTGGATACACGCAGACATTCATTCAGACATGTACTCAACTATATGATATGTCTTAGTTTAAAACACTTGTCATATACTTCTTGGACATGTATCATACACTTCACATCATTTCTTGAAACTTGTTAGTCGTTAGACATGGGTCGGAGTTGTTTTAGCCCATTACCAATTTCAAAAACTATGATTTTAAAGGGTCATTTGGGTAACTAGTTCAAAAATGAGCATTTTCCAATTTATAATAAGCGACATAATGAAAATAACTTAAAAATGTGATATAAATTTTAATTCTAATAAAATATAAATTGAAAAACAATAATGATCTCATGTAAATTAATAATTTCAATATATATAAAGTTTAATTCTAATAAAACATGAATTGAAAAACAATAATGATCTCATGTATCACTTAGTTTAAAACACTTGTCATATACTTCTTGGACATGTATCATACACTTCACATCATTTCTTGAAACTTGTTAGTCGTTAGACATGGGTCGGAGTTGTTTTAGCCCATTACCAATTTCAAAAACTATGATTTTAAAGGGTCATTTGGGTAACTAGTTCAAAAATGAGCATTTTCCAATTTATAATAAGCGACATAATGAAAATAACTTAAAAATGTGATATAAATTTTAATTCTAATAAAATATAAATTGAAAAACAATAATGATCTCATGTAAATTAATAATTTCAATATTTATAAAGTTTATTTCTAATAAAACATGAATTGAAAAACAATAATGATCTTATGTAAATTATTACTTTCAATATATATATATATATATATATAGAGAGAGAGAGAGAGAAAAACTTGTGTCAACTTAAGTGGATAGCAAAAAGTTGACCTCCAAACTTTTTAGCCACTCATTGCCTAGGGATCCTTGCATGATATGAAAAAGTTTTTTATATTAATAAATGAGTGGCTAGAAAGTTTGGTGGACATCAACTTAAGTTGATAGGAGTCTTTCTCTCTCTCTATATATATATATATTCATGTCCTCGTACCATACATTTTACAAATTTGCTGTGTACCGTACCAGCACTTGTACCTGTATTGGTGCTTGTACCCGTTTCCATGCAACTTAGTCTAATACCTTTCCATGCTATCTAAATAGCCCCCTCAGTGCTCTAACATCCCTAAAATTACGTCACGTGAGGTCTTGCTACTTATGTGCACCAAATTTTGCCAACGGCATAAAAATAGGTCTAAGTGCACTTTTGGTTGACTTTTAATGCTAAAAAGACATTGAAGAAAATCTTAATACCAAACCAGTTAGGGGGTTATAAAAAAAATACTCATTTGGTAGTTTAGCCTAAGTTTCCTTGCACCTTTATCATGAAAACATATGTGGTTTTGAAAGGGAAAAAGGGCAGAGGATGGGAAACTTGTTACCTAATGCAGGACAATCGTGGACTCTCCATGTAATGCGATTAGGGTTTATTAGAATCTTTTCTTTTTTGGGAGGATTTTATCTTATTCTATGTAATCTTCTTTTAGTTTGGATTTTTTTAGGATTTGATTTTGAAATCTCTTTCTATTTTAGGTAGGATTTTATTTGATTGCGTCTTTTAGTTTTGTTAGGTTTTGATTTGATTAGGATTTTTATTTACTTAAGTGTTTAGTTGCTTTCTTTTCCTATAAATAAGAGATGTAATCCTCCATGAGAGAGAGACATTGATGAATAAAAAAATTGAGTTTGATCTTGAGCATGTGAATTGCTTATTGGCATGTGAAGTGTCTTTGGGGTGTGAAGCCCTTGGATGTGAAGCCCATAGGTGTGAGGCCTAGCTATTTATCTAAAATTTCTTCACTTTCAATCATAGCCATCCGATCCCAATCACAAGTCAAAAAAGATACTGTTCACGGATGAACAGTATCCACGCAGCCTCGAGATCCGACGCCATCGACGCCATCAACCTCCGATGATGCCACATTCCTTCGAATCTGATTGTGTACTCAATGACGTCATTCGCTTGAGTATCGTTGTCGTCAACTCTCCTCCGATCATTCTTTAATGAGTTATGATCCCTCGCCGCCAAGATCTTACAACACGGTTCTAGAAAGTTATCGACGACTGAAAAATCTACCGTCTCCCCCTTTCAGATCACGCTCAGATTCGAGCACCTACCAAAATTCACAGTATCGAGAAGCTCGTGCTTTCCCATCGGAATTGGGTTGGCGCCGAAGGCAACAAATTCGGGAGATATCTACTCGGACCGGGTCCCCCGCCGACCCCCATCATTACCTCAGCAGTTCCCTACCTTATATGAATTGCCATTTGTTAATAAGTACTAGTTTCACACCTTAACAATAACTCAACCAGACTCACAACGCTACAATGTAGGCCATAATCGAAACCAAACTCTATCAGCATCCACCACCACTTAATTGCACAGACCCTCTGTAATATCACGGTTTTAAACTTACCGTTCCTGTAGTTCATTGTTTCAGATAAACCCCCTAGGTTAAACTTTTTCTTTTACCCTCAGTGAAAATTTGGCAGATATTGCGTCTATGTGAAATTAGTGAGTCTATCTGACGGCAAAAGGCACAAAAAGAAAATTAACCGAGGGGGTCTACTTGTAACGATGAAACTACGGGGTTGTAAGTTCAAAACAACGATACTAGAGGGGGTCTCTGTGCAATTAACCCTTTTCTCAAAGGAAAAAAAAAATTCCTCTACAGAGTTCTCATCACAGAGATGACAACTGTAATCATTGTATCTATTGCCAATTTTTTTGGCGTGAATTCCTATATATCTGCATTCATTCAACTGAGTTTTCCATTTTATTTAGTCCCATAGTTCCACCACTATCATGTCTATTGATTTCTTTGTGATCTTCTTTTTTGATCCATAGGAAATTTGTTGATTCTGGGTTCTCATGTTACAATAGTGGTATACACTATGTAATCTATTCTTTATTCACCAGAAAGCAGAATACTCTTTTCTTTTGTATAAAGCAGAAATTGAAGAGGATTCTTTTAGTCATTAAGAGTTCTTTCACTTTCTTAACCCATTTTAATATTAGGCACAATAATGGAATTCAGTAAACGCGTCTAAAGGATTTTAGATTGAGACAGATGCACGTTATCTGTATTTATTGTTTTAACATATTTAGACATTTTCCTTGGCCAAAGGACTGAAAATGCATATTGCATTTTTATTTCCCTATTTTTTGCTTCTTTTTGCCAGGCGGTTTTGCTGGGGTAGGGAAGGGATGTTTGTTTCGATGGGTACCATTCAAGATTTGTTGCATTTCTTCTCTAATTCATAAAGGCATAATAGCATTATGTCCACGAGTCACGCTAGACTCGTAAAGCTCCAAAATACATCTCAACACCCTCTCACCGCTATAACTTTGTCAGCCTCCCGCGGATCCGTTTATAACTGACCAGAAATCCCACCGCTTCCCTAGCTCAATTCTCATTCCCCATCTTCGCTTCATTTCTTCGAAGTGAAAGAACCCAAGAACCCAAATCTGTTGCAATGGATCCCCAAGTAGTAAAGAACCGAACCATTTTCTTCTTATCTGCACTCAGGGAATCCATCTTCATCCTTCGCTCATCTCCTTACACCTTGATCCTCATCGCCCTCACCTTCATCTTCCCCCTCTCCTTTGCCATCCTTGCCAATACCCTTGTGTCACACCCACCCTTCATCCACCTCCAACTTTTCTCCACTTTCTCCCAGTTGCTTACTTTCCTTCTACATCAATTTTCCTACCTCATGCTTCTCTTCTCCTTCTCTCTCTTTGTCGCTGCTGTTGTCTGCACTGTGTCCTCGGTCTACACTTCGAAATCCATCACCTTTATGTCCATCCTTTCTTCCATCCCTTTTCTCATTCCCCGCCTCCATAAAACTTTAGTCTGTGTCTCTGCCGTCATGCTTTTATACTACGCAACTTTTTTTCTGTCCATCCTCGCACTCCTGAAGCTCCCACCTAGCCTTTATTCCCACCTCTTTGTCTTTACCCTCCTCATTACTTCTCTTCTCTTCATCTTTGTCTATAGCATGATCTCGGTTATGTGGCACCTTACCAGTGTTGTGTCGATCCTCGAATCCGTTTGTGCTATTCCTGGGATGAAAAAGAGCCATGAATTGCTTCGTGGGCTGATGGAAATAGCATCAGATTTTATTGTTGTATATCTTGTTGCTTGTGTAGCTATTGTGGAGGCTTTTAAAGCGGTGGCTATTAAAGGGCCTGAGGATGTAGGGGCCTTAGAAATTGGGCCAGGACCAAAGCTTTTGATTGCTGTGGCCCTTGTGGGGATTCCAATGGTGACAAATATTGGTGGTTTCCTAGTTCAGAGCATATTTTATTATGCTTGCAAGACTTATTATCCTATGGGGATTGACATGGTTGTCTCAGATGATAACTTGGACAAGTATCTAGGGGATGATATACCGCTTAAGAGCTCAGTAGACATAGACACCCTTTGTGTTTAAGGCTTTTTATCTGTTTCCGTAGTAAGTATGTTGTCTATATAAGAAATAATGAGGATGAGTGAAATGAGCAAATAAAGGTTCGGGTTCTATATTAATTAGTTGTGAAGAAATGTACAATGTACGTTGTGGCTGATGTGGGTTAAATTGTTGTTTTCTTAACTATGTTCCATATGTGTCATATTATTCCATATTTTTTGTGGGTTGTTCACTGGTATTTGTTACCTCTTTTACTCGGATGAGTTATTGACTTGTTGCCTTGAGCGCAAACCAATTTTTAGAATGATAAATAACCATAGACTATTAGCCATAAAGAGTTGTGCCCCTTATTGTTTCTTACTGTGGCTGTCTACTGAATCTGAACTTCGAAAAAGCCCTTGTTCTCTTTCTATCAATTCTGAAAACATGATACTTCCTTAACAGTTTTAATTTGAAACACACTTGTAGATTGAGATGTTGCTTGGAAGATAAACAGGTTTCAAAGTAGGAGTTTCTGTACATATGTATATTCCTTATACATCCAGACTAGAATTCTTATCATCCTCAAGGGGGCTATCGTAGTATACATTGGCTGTATGGTCTAACTAGACATCTTTACTAATGGATACCATTTTCACTTCTGTGTATATGCATATTCCTAATGCGTTCAAACTAGAATCCTTGGCATCCTCAAGCTCTTGGATACACAGTGAGTGCATTGAATGCACTCTAATTTTTACCTTGTTAGTTTGGGAATCTAGTTTACATTTATGGGTTTATTGACATCTTCTAAATTCTAATAGGGATGTTTGGCTTGTGCGGATAGACAGTGTACTCTTCACCACTAACAAGATGATATCCTTTTGTCAAAAGGTGTTGTGAAGAATTACATAAGAATAAAATGACACAGAAGTTCAGGATTAGCACAGTACGAAGTTATCTTTATTTGATACTTAAATACATGCACAGCTAACTTGCCCTGACGCTTGGTGCGTGAATCATATGAGCAGTTTAACCAACTTCCCAGTATAAATTGAGAAATGCTGACATCTATGGGAACCTTAGGGGCCACTGATGCCAGTTGGATGACCCTGTATTGTTGCAGACAATTATGTTCTTCAAGCAAATGACAGAGCTTTACGTATATAATTGTAGATCATTTGTTGCACACTCTTATAACTTTGTATTTATGGTTCAAAATGGTATTGCTGAGGATCAGGGATGCTCCAGGTGTCAGTTTTTTTTTTTTTTTTTTAAGAATCAGAATGTGTTTTTGTCTGAAGGCTGGGATCAGCACCACAGTCTGCAAGGGTTCACACTACGAAGTTGTTATCTTTTTTCCTCTTGAAGAGATTTATATATGTTAGCTTGTTGGTTATGTGGTTCTTGCATCTTGTTCATCTTATTGCACGAAGCAGTTATAGTAGTGCTAGTTCTTTCATGTAAGGCT